CAGCGAGACTCCGTCTCAAAAAAAAAAAAAAAAAAAAAAAATTAAAACAACGATTTTTGTGTACCCAGTTAAATGTGGGCTGCTTAGGAATGGTGTCTGTGTCTTAATGATCTCTGTATTCCTAGTGACATGTAGAATCGTTGTGCCTGACACATAGTATATACTCAGGAAAGAAACAGAAAAAGAAAGATATGTGGTTTTAGCATTTAAGGCCAGGAGAGAGGGTCTAACAGACTACAAGGCCCGCCAGGAGCAGAGTAAGGGAAACAAAGGGGGAAAAAAGTGTTTTTAGCCTGTGCCTGAATGTATAAATCTGTTTGTGGCTCAAAAGTCAAAAGCATATATAAGCTTGGCTTTTCTGTAGCTATGTTTATGGCTTTACAGCAGATTTTATGGAGCTGCAATTACTTTGATCATGAGGGACTGATGCTAGTGGATTTATGTCACCAAGTGGAACTCACTCTGTGGCTTCTGAAGAAGGGAACGTTGTGGACTTTCATGGGGTAGTTAAGAGTGCAGGCTCTGATTTAGTGATCAGAGTCATGAGGTAATCATGAGGTGGATGTAATCATGAGGATACATTAGACAAACCCGCATAAAGAGACATGCTTTATACAAAACTGTAATCTTAGAAAGTGCCAAGGTCAAGTGATTCTCATGCCTCAGCCTCACGAGTAGCTAGCATTACAGGCGCAGCTGTGGTGATTCTCATGCCTCAGCCTCACGAGTAGCTGGCATTACAGGTGCAGCTGTAGTGATTCTCATGCCTCACCTCAGCCTCTCGAGTAGCTGGCGTTATGCCACCACACCCAGCTAATATTTGTTTTTTTATTTGTTTTATTTTTTTTCCCCCCAGAGTCTCACTGTGTCACCCAGGCTGGAGTGCAGTGGCATGATCTCAGCTCGCTGCAACATATGCCTCCTGGGTTCAAGCAATTCTCTTGCCTCAGCCTCCCGAGTAGCTGGAATTACAGGTGTGCACCACCATGCCTTGCTACTTTTTGTATTTTTATTAGAGATGGGTTTTCAACATGTTGGCCAGGCTGGTTTCGAACTCCTGACCTCGTGATCCGCCTGCCTTGGCCTCCCAAAGTGCTGGGATTACAGGCGTGAGCCACTGCGCCAGCCTTCATTTTTAAAAACCCAATGTCATACCCCTTTCAGTCTCAAAAATTCATGGTTTTTCAGGATTTCTGGAATCAAATGCCCACACTTTGAAAAACAAGGAAAAGTTTTACAAGGCAGCCAGAGCTTTAGGTTCAAGGTCTCATATCTATCGTGATCCCATGTCATTTCCCAGGGGGGAAAAAACAAAAACATTGCTTTGAGATTTGGGAACATCCACACTCATTTCTGCATTCCCAATGAGGTGCTTAGACATGTGGCCTTCGCAGAAGGGGTTACCAAGCAACAAGGCTCCTTGGGCAGGAGGAGTCTGGCAGGGCTCTGCAACACTCATGGGTCTATACCTCTCCTTTCACAGCTGAGGCGGTGGGGGAGGCCCTGGCAGAGGGGAGGTGCCAGCACCACACAGTGAGTTTAAGGACAGGGCCAGGCCTGAAACCCAGGAGCTCAAACACCCAGGCAGGTGCTTTCTTTGCAAAAGCATGCATAGGGTCACACATCATGATTCCTGTGTGTTCAGGGCCACAGAGCCAAACTCTTCAGACATCATCGCTTTGATTCATCAACCTTGTAAGGTAGTTTGTTATAACCCCAGAGTCCACATTCCTATCCTCTTATTTCTACAGCCTATGCCATACAGCACACTTTCCATATTGCCTACAAAAGATTTGGGGAAAAAAAATCCTCGCTCAGTTACGACTTTAAATAGGTTGGTACCATAGAAACAATCCATAAGTGGCATTTCAAAGCTGATATATTTAAAGACTAGCACATGTACTTTTTCTAGGACAGTGACATTATACAGTTGCACATGGCTTATTCTTATTTTGCATTTTGTCCCAAAATATATATATGGTGTCCTGAACTTGGCAGAATTGAGAACCCAGATCAGCTGAGATTAGCAATTTGGTTTCCCTCTAAATGTTTCTTACAGATGGTTTCTACCCTATTTATCTTTCAAGAATTCGTGAAGACTATCCTTATATAGAAAGCTGGAACATGAGGTTCCATAGGCTTGGGGTGTTATCTGTAAATCACATATCCGCAAAACACAGTAAGGGGAGAAACCACAGCCTTCATCAGTCATTTATTCATTTAGTCATGAACAAATATTTAATGAGTACCTATGTGTTATCTATTGCAGTGTAACAGTTACCTCCAAATGTAGCGGCTTGCAACACCAGTAAACATTATCTCACATAATCTCTTTTGGTAGGAACTTGAGAGTGGTTTAGCTGGGTGGTTCTGACTCAGGGTCGTTCATGGGGTTGCAGTCATCTGAAGGCTTGACCAGGGCTCAATGACTAACTTCCAAGGTGCTTCTCTCACATAGCTGGCAAACTGGTGCTGGTTGTTGGCAGGTTTCAGTTTCTTGCCATGTGAGCCTCTACATATGGCTACCAAGTGTCCTTATGACATAGTGGCTAGCTTCCCTCAAAATAAGCAAAGCAAGAGAGAACAAGGCAGAAGCCACAGGGTCTTTTATGGCCTAGTTTTGGAGTCACACTGTCATTCCTGCATTTTTTTTTTTTTTTTTTTAGACTGAGTTTTGCTTTGTCACTAAGGCTGGAATGATCTCGGCTCACTGCAACTTCTGCCTCCCAGGTTCAGGCAATTCTCCTGTCTCAGCCTCCTGAGTAGCTGGGACTACAGGCACATGCCACTTTATTAGAGACGGGGTTTCACCATATTGGTCAGGCTGCTCTCGAACTCCTGACCTCAGGTGATCCACCTGCCTCAGCCTCCCAAAGTGCTGGGATCACAGGCATGGGGCATCACGCCTGGCCCATTTCTTTTTTTTATTTCAGACGGAGTCTCGCTTTGTCACTGGGCTGGAGTGCAGTGGCACAATCTCAGCTCACTGCAACCTCCACCTCCCGGGTTCAAGCAGTTCTCCTGTCTCAGCCTCCCGAGTAGCTGGGACTACAGGTGTGCGTCACCATGCCCAGCTAATTTTTATATTTTTAGTAGAGATGGGGTCTCACCATGTTGGCCAGGATGGTCTCGATCTCTTGACCTCGTGATCCACCCGCCTCGGCCTCCCAAAGTACTGGGATTACAGGCGTGAGCCACTGCACCTGGCTGCGCCTGGCCCATTTTTGCAATATCTTATTGGTTACACATTCAGCCCTATATAGGGTTGCCAGATGTAGTAAATAAAAATATAGGATGCCCAATTAAACTTGAAGTTTAGATAAAACAATGAATAACAGTATTTGTATGTATCGTAAAATATTGCAAAATACTAAAAAATTATCTGAAATTCAAATTTAACTACCATCCTGTATTTAATCTGGAACCCTAACCCTATTCAGTGCACAAAGGAAAAACATGCCAAAGTGGGGGTGAATACCAGGAGGCCAGGTTCACTGGGGGCCATCTTGGAAGCTGGCTTCTACAACCTTAACATGCTGGGCATGGTAGACTGGGAATAAATGGTAAACAATGAAAAACAATGATTCCTGCACTCATGCAGTTTGTAGCCTGTTGAATAAAATCAATTTGAATCAACCCAGCAGGAAAATAAATACAAAACCTTAACAATGATAAAAGTACTTCAGAGAGAAATAGTTGATGCTTGGGACAGGGATGGGGTCCTCATCAAAATGGCCCTTTTGTTTTGTTTTGTTTTGTTTTTTGGTGCAGGGATGGGGTCCTCATTAAAATACCCACTTTTTTGCTGGGGGAGAGGGGGAACAGGGTCTTGCTCTGTCTTCCAGGCTGGAGTGCAGTGGCATAATCATAGCTCACTGCAGCCTCAACCTCCTAGGCTTAAGTAATCCTCCTGCCTCAGCCTTTCAAGTAGCTTGGACTACAGGCTATAGTAGCCAAACTCAGCTAATTTTTTAAGATCTTTTTGTAGTGATGAGGTCTCGCTATGTTGCCCAGGCTGGTCTTGAACTCCTGGCCTCAAGTGATCCACCTTGGCCTCCCAAAGTGTTGGGATTATAGGCGTGAGACACCTCACCCAGCCCATGTTTGCTTTACAGATTGAGTTTTTACATGTGATTTGATTTGTCTCTATGGGCATATAAGGGGTATATGGAGGGTTCTGTTGCTAAAAGAAGGAAATAAAACCCTGAAATGCATGGTTTTGAACTTTAGCTAAATCCATAAGCACGCACAAATGAGTGCATGTAAACATGGCGAAAACTGAATACGGTTTGTAGTCTACTGAACCGTTTTTACTAATGCTAATTTCCTGGTTTTGCTATTGCACTACAGTTGCATAAGATCAGCATTGGGGGAAGCCAGGTGAAGGATACATGGAACCCTTTGCACTACTTTTTCAACTTCACATGAGTCTATAATTATTTCAAAATAAAAAGTTAATAAACAACCCATTAAAAAAAAAAAAAAAAAGCAGCTATTGTTTGGAAATGGAAGCAAGGTTAGATCAAAATAATCCAGACTTGGCAGGGTGTGGTGGCTCATGCCTGTAATCCCAGTACTTTGGGAGGCTGAGGTGGGTGGATCACCTGCAGTCAGAGGTTCAAGACCAGCCTGACCAAGATGGCGAAACCCCGTCTCTATCAAAAATACAAAAATTAGCTGGGCGTCGTGGCATATGCCTGTAGTCCCAGCTACTCAGGGGACTGAGCCAGGAGAGGTGCTTGAATCCAGGAGGTGGAGGCTGCAGTGACCCGAGATGTCGCCACTGCACTCCAGCCGTGATAGAGCAAGACTCAGTATCAAAAAAAACTCCAAATTCATGAAAGGACTGGAGAAGGGACTGATGGGTGGAGCCAGGGGTTCTGTCTGAAGAAATCGAATTTTTTTTTTTTTCTTTTTTGAGATGGAGTTTCGCTCTTGTTGCCCAGGTTGGAGTGCAATGGTATGATCTCGGCTCACTGCAACCTCTGCTTCCCGGGTTCAAGGATTCTCCTGGTCAGCCTCCTGAGTAGCTGGGATTACAGGTATGTGCCACCATGCCCAGTTAATTTCGTGTTTTTAGTAGAGACAGGGTTTCTCCATATTGGTCAGGCTGGTCTCAAACTCCCGACCTCTGGTGATCCGCCCACCTAGGTCTCCCAAAGTGCTGGCATTACAGGTGTGAGCCACCACGTCCAGCAGGAATGGAATTCTTACTGTTAATTATCCTGAGCAGTGTTGGTTTAGAACACAGAATGAGGCCAATTTTGAGGATAGGGGTAAGAGGTGTCCTCCTGGTTCTGGGCCCAGATGTGGGGTCCGGAGAGGCCTGGAACACTTCTGTTGGTAGGGCAGTTGTCCCTGGTCCCAAGGAAGAGGCTGGGGAAACCCTCAAAGAAGCCTGAGTTTTTGGGTGACCCAGCCTCTTAATTTAAATAGTAAATGAAAGAAATGTTTTCATTTTCTACCCCAAAATGAAGATAAGGGAACGTTCTGGTGACATCAGTGTATCCCAGAGACCTGAAAGCCATTTGCTGACCCATGATTGAGGCTGATCAATTGTTTTTTAAGGATAACTGTGGACAATTGTTGATGGGTTTTCTGTTGTGGTGGTGGTTTGTTTTTTGCTTTTTGAGACAGGGTCTAGCTCTGTCAACCCAGGCTGGAGTGCAGGCAGTGGCACAATCAAGGCTCACTGCAGCCTTGTCCTGCTGGGCTTAAGTGGTCCTCCCACATGAGCCACCCAATTAGCTGGGACTACAGGTGCTTGCCACCATGCCCAGCTAATATATCTTTTTTTGAGATGGAGTATCACTCTATCACTCAGGCTGGAGTGCAGTGGCACAATCTCGGCTCACTGCAACCTCTGCCTTCCAGGCTCAAGTGATTCTCCTGCCTCAGCCTCCCGAACAGCTGGGATTACAAGCGTGAGACACCACACCTGGCTAATCTTTTGTTTTGTTTTGAGACAGGATCTCAGTCTGTCACCCAGATTGGAGAATCTTAGCTAACCACCACAACTTCTGCCTCCCAGGCTCAGGCGATTCTCCTGCCTTAGCCTCCTGAGTAGCTGGGATTACTGGCATGCGCCACTACCACCTGGCTATTTTTTTTGTACTTTTAGTAGAGAGATTTCACCATGTTGGCCAGGCTGGTCCTGAACTCCTGACCTCAAAATGATCCACCCACCTTGGTCTCCCAGAGTGCTGGGATTACAGGTGTAAGCCATCGCACTGGCACCCGGCTAGTTGTTTTTTTTTTTTTTTTTGTATTTTTAGTAGAGATGGATTTTTACCATGTTGTCCAGGCTGATCTCGAACTCCTGACCTCAGGTGATACGCCCACCTCAGCCTCCCAAAGTGCTGGGATTACAGGCATGAGCCATCATGCCCAGCTCGAGCTAATTTTTAAAACTTTTTGTAGAGACAAGTTCTCATTATTTTGCTAAGGCTGGTCTTGAACTCCTGGACTCTTGAGACATTTGTTCAGGGGGAAGCCAACACCATGTATGAAGTTTAACCACCCTGAGACATGGCCATGTCCTGAAGAAGCCCCGTCTAGCCATGCAGAGAGACTACATGGATAACAGATATCCCATTAAGTCTCTAGACGCTCCAACCATCCCAGCCCAGGTACCAGACAAATGAATGAAGAAACCTTCAGCTGCCATCTGACTAGAGAACCACCAGCTCACTCTAGTTAATTCCCAAAACTGAGAGGTGTTTTTTTTTGTTGTTGTTGTTGTTTTGAGACAGGGTTTCACTCTGTCCCCCAGGATGGAGTGCAGTAGTGCAATCACAGCTCACTGCAACCTCCACTTCCCAGGCTCCAGTGATCCTACCTCAGCCTCCCCAGTAGCTGGGACTACAGGCACATGCCACCATGCCCAGCTATCTTTTTTTTTTTTTTCTAGAGACCAGGGTTTCACCATGTTGTGCAGGCTGGTCTGGAATTTCTGTGCTCAAGTGATCCTCCTGCCTTGGCCTCCCAACATACTGGGATTACAGGCATGAGCCACTGCACCTGGCTAGAACTGAGATTTAACAAATTGTGGCCAGGCGTGGTGGTTCACGCCTGTAATCCCAGCACTTTGGGATGCCGAGGCAGGTGAATCATCTGAGGTCAGGAGTTTGAGACCAGCCTGGCCAACATGGTGAAACCCCATCTTTACTAAAAATACAAAAATTAGCTGGGTGTGGTGGCAGGCGCCTGTAGTCTCAGCTACTCTGAAGGCTGAGGCAGGAGAATTGCTTGAATCCAGGAGGTGGAGGTTGCAGTGAACCAAGATCACACCATTGCGCTCCAGCCTGGGTGACAAGAGTGAAACTCTGTCTCAAAAAAACCAAACAAGTTGCTTTAAGTCACTCAGCTCGGGGCTGCTTGGTTGTGCCGCAAGAGACAAGTGGAACAATGAATGAGACTAGATGTCCTCTGCTACCCAATGACTGGTGACCATAAGCTTCCTGGGTCTGTAATTCCATCAGCTGTCCATCCCTTACCCTGGAGGGGTAAAGGATTTATTCTTTGGGTAGACATAGGTTAAGAGTTTTTTTTTCCCCCTAATGAAAAATTGCCACGTGCTTTTGAGGCCCTGGATGGCTCAACCAGGTTGGCGGCTGCTAACGAGGGTGAAGATCTAATTCAGTCCATCTGGCACATGTGCAGAAGACCATTCTCCAACCCCAGGTCAAGACTACAAATGGCTGGCTCTCAGTTGGACAAACATAAATCCTGATGAGAAGATATGGTTGGTTCATCACAACCTATCTTTTATTTCACAATAGTAATAGTAATCATTATAGCTACCATTTATTAAGCCTTCACCATGGGGCTGTAAGTCTTCATTGCTTAGCTTTACTAAACTAGATAATGTGTTTGCTTATCTCATGGATTTCTCTTAACCATCCCCTGAGATCCCCCTACAGTTCTTATCTGTTTACCCCCATTTTACAGAAGAGGAAAACTGAGGCTCAGAGAATTGGAGTCACTTGGCCATAGTCACACAGTTGGAAAGTGGTAGAGCCAGGATGAGACACTAGTTCTGACTCCAAAGCTAGTTATATACAGTAATAGCACCCAAGTAATGTATAGATTACCATGCTTTCACATATGGCAAATTAAGGAATCAGAATGGATGATGCATGCTGCCCAAGCTGGACAGAGGATACGCCAGGGTACAAGTGACGGCTGACCCACTGCTCCATGGAACCCCCAAGAAAGACTCTAGAACAAAGCCCTGATTTCACAGTAAGATTAAAATTCTGCCCAAATCAGGGTACATGGGTGGAATTAATCAAAAAAGTTAATATGTGTGCCTTTCACCCTAGCAATTCTACTTCTCATTTTGCAGAGACTCACTCATACAGTGGCACCAAGAGGTTATATGTGCAGGAGAACGTCCACTGCAGCTTTGCTAGTAGCAATGAAAACTGCTAACAGCCTAAGGGCCTAGCCAAAGTGGAATGCTCAAAAAACATGATTTGCTCAGCCGGGCACGGTGGCTCACGCTTGTAATCCCAGCACTTTGGGAGGCCGAGGCGGGCGGATCACGAGGTCAGGAGATCAAGACCATCCTGGCTGACACGGTGAAACCCCGTCTCTTAAAAATACAAAAATTAACCGGGCGTGGTGGCGGACGCCTGTGGTCCCAGCTACTCAGGAGGATGAGGTAGGAGAATGGCGTGAACCTGGGAGGAGCTTGCAGTGAGCCGAGATTGCGCCACTGCACTCCAGCCTGGGGGACAGAGCGAGACTCCGTCTCAAAAAAAAAAAAAAAAGATGGTTTGCTCTAGAACAGGCAGCTGGTAAAAGGCATGGTGTTAGATCAGCACATGTTCACTTCAGAAACGCTCCAGGAGCCAGGTGCGGTGGCTCACGCCTGTAATCCCAACACTTTGAGAGGCTGAGGCAGGATTGCTTGAGCCCAGGAGTTTGAGACCAGCCTGGGCAACACAGTAATTCCCCTCTTTACAAAAAATAGAAAGTTAGCCCCGTGTCATGGTCCAGCCACTCAGGAGGCTGAGGTGAAAGGATTGCTGGAGCCCAGGAGTTAGAGGTTGCAGTGAGCTGTGTTTGTGCCCCTGCACTGCAGCCTGAGCAACAAAGCGGGACTCTGTCTCCAAAACAAACAAACAAACAAACAATCCTGCAGAACAATCTGTTAAATTACATTTTGGAATAACCTACTCAAAATGGTTTTTTCCATACATCTTTTAAGATGATAATATTTATATGTTCAAAAATTTAAAGTCTGGAAGACTATGTACAAACAGAAAATGGTAGCATTACCTTTAGGGAAGAAAGGAGATATTGAGAGGAGGTACAAATAGAGCCCCTTGCCTTCTTACCATGAATTCTGATTGTCCCATGTTTTACAATATATTCATGTAGTACTCTAAACAAAATCTTTTCAGATCAAATCAGAGGAGATGAAATGAGAGTGGATTCTGAGCCTAGTTTTTTTCAGGGAACAAGACCCAGTGCTACCACTTGGGGGCTAGAGACAGAAATTTTATTTATTTTATTTTATTTATTTTATTTTTGAGATGGAGTCTTGCTCTGTTGCCCAGGCTGGAGTGCAATAGTGTGATCTTGGCTCACTGCAACCTCTGCCTCCTGGGTTCAAGCAATTCTCCTGCCTCAGACTCTCAAGTAGCTGCAACTACAGGCATGCACCACCACGTCCAGCGAATTTTTGTATTTTTGGTAGATGGAGTTTTGCCACATTGGCCAGGCTGGTCTCGAACTCCTGACCTCAGGTTATCTGCCCACCTTGGCCTCCCAAAGTGCTGGGATTACAAGCATGAGCCACCAGGCCCAGCCTCTTTATTTTCTTTCAGTGTTTTCCCAGGAAGCTCTCTGAATATCCAGGGTCTTCATGGATGGACTTCCCATAAAAGGTAATTCCTGGAACCAGACATAAATTTTTTTTTTGGTGTGTGTGGGGGAGGGGATGCACAGCTGTCACCAGATTCTCAAAGGGACAGTGTCACACTTAACAGAGCAAGGAGAGTAATCGGTGATTGGTGAATGATCATTTATCAGAGACTGTGTGTCAAAAATTTTAAAAATAATAAGTAACTGCTGAAGAAATGAACAAAAAGGGTCACACCTTCAAAAAAGCCTAATTACCATTCCAGAGCAGTCTCAAGACAAGGAGAGATAAGAGCTGCTTCACACTGAGGGCTTATCTGGTACCAAGGACCACCACCACCGTCATCCATTAGCCATCCCCAATAAAACCATGAAGTTCAGCCTGGACAGCATAGAAAGACCCCGTCTCTACAAAAAAAAAAAAAAAGATAAAGTAAAAATAAAAATAAAAAGTAGCCAGGTGTGGTGGCACATGCCTGTAGTCCCAGCTACTCAGGAGGCTAAGCTGGGAGGATCACATGACCCTAGGAGACCGAGGCTGCAGTGAGCTATAATCACGCCACTGTACTCTAGCCTGAGTGACAGAGCGAGATTCTGTCTGAACACACACAGACACACACACACACAACGAACTTTTAACTTCCCCATTTTATAGATGAAGAGACAAAGTCTCAAGCCATACAGCCAGGAGGTCAGACTGACTCCAAAAACCCATGCTCCAAGCCACAATAAGTCACTGCCTTCCAAAAGCCTCATATTATCGTGAGATATAAGGCAAGGAGGTATGGGCAAAACACCTTAACCCTTAAAGATACAAACTTATTGTAGGCCTAGTTCGTCCCTCAGCATTTGGTGACTGCTATAAAGGGTTAACTCAGCAGGCTTGAAGTATCCAAACCCAGCACATCTCAAAGAAAAAACTGGCCTTAATGGGCTCCTGAGAGATAACCTCTAAGTCCTTCGAATATCCTCCCAAATAGGGGTGTCTTTATATACCTCAGGCCTTGGGCCATACCAGGCCAGATAGTTTGTGCTCATAATGTGGTTTACGGTGGGGACCTTGGGCCATGCTGTATCATTTTGACCTCTGGAGCGGCTGGTGATTACATAACTAAAAAAGTCATGTGATTGCCCCATGTGACTGACATGCAATAAAAACCTAGACCCCAAGGCTAGGGTGAGCTTTCTGGCTGGTAATATTTAGTATGTGGTGTCACATATCATTGCTGGGAAAATTAAGCGTGTCTGTAAGACTCTACTGGGAGAGGACAACTGGAAGCTTGAGGCTGGTCTCTCCTGGACTCTGCCCTGTGCCCCTTTTTCTCTTGCTGATTTTATTTTGAGATGGCGTCTTGCTCTGTCACTCAGGCTGGAATAAAATGGCACGATCTCAGCTCACTGCAACCTCCACCTCCCAGGTTCAGGCGATTCTCCTGCCTCAGCCTCCTGAGTGGCTGGGATTACAGGTGCACGCCACCACACCCAGCTAATTTTTGTATTTTTAGTAGAGACGGAGTTTCACCGTGTTGGCCAGGCTGGTCTTGAACTCCTGACCTCAGGTGATCCTCCTGCCTCTGCCTCCCAAAGTGCTGTGATTGCAGGCATGAGCCACTGCGCCCAGCCTGTTTTGCTGATTCTAATGTGCATCCTTTTGCTGTAATAAACCATAACCATGAGGATAATAGCTCTTCTGAATTCTGAGTTCTAGCCAATCATCGATTCTGGGGGTGGCCTTGGGGATCCCAACACAAGAATTCGGCTGTGCCTTACATGCACCTATATTCCCCAGCTTTTTGCTCATCACAAATCTCCCTGACAAAATCCAGTATGGAAAGAAAAAAAAAAAAAAACCCTATTCATTCAGTAAAGTAAGGCATAAACAAATGAGCCCCTGTTCACTTTATTCAAAGAGTATTTTTTTTTTCTCTGTGAAACTAGGTAGAACTGAGGAGGAATCAAAGAAAGCCTCATATATTAAATTCTTAAATAGATTCTTTGAATTCAAAGTAAGGGTCAATAGGAGAGGCACAGTTTGTGGGCCTTGTCCCAGCAAACAAAGCCACCAAGGCAGTCCTGCAAATTAAGGAGGATGGCAAATCTTTCTCTTAAAAAAAAGTTCTTGAGGGGAAAAATATAAAATACCTAAGTTTCAAAAGCCGGACTACTTCCATACCCTTTGTTCTCTACCCTGGCGTGTCCAAAGATAGAGAGTTTCAAGGTACATTTTCAATGATTCAGCTTTTGCAAACATATGCAAATACATTCCTCATCCGCAGTCCTGTTTTGGCGATTAATAGCAAGCAATATGCTTGGATTAGAGGTCCGATTTCCACTTAAATGCAGTTTCTTCTCTTCTTGGCAATGAAGTTCATTTGCAGAGATCTGAAAGGGGGGAAGACTGTGTTAGACTCAGAGTAACAATTCTGAAATAGATCATTTATATTTATACATGTGATTGCAGAACATACTGTCTTCATCCATTCGCATAAGCATGTAAGGTTTTACGAATGCATCCCAGATGGCCAGCGAGAGTTTAAATTTAAAAACGTTTCCTGGGTTCTTCCCTACATCTCATCTTGCATCCACTTGACCTCAAATATACACTTTTCTTATGGATACAGAGCAAACGACAGTGATTATGTGATAAATACTGATGAATTCTTGGAGGCAAGGGCAGGATTCATGTTAGTTCAAGACCAACTCTGTATCCAGGATCAGCTAAAGCGCCGTGTATATGGTATCTCATTTATAAAACAAGTAACAAATCTGCCTTTGTCAATGAGAAGGTCCAGGAGTCTACTAATGATAGGGAGGAAAGCTGTTTTTCATGACAGGGTTCTTTTTTGGAATAGAACTATGGGATCTTGGGTGGGCGCAGTGGCTCATGCCTGTAATCCCAGCACTTTGGGAGGCTGAGGCAGGCAGATCACTTGAGACCAGGAGTTCGAGACCAGCCTGGCCAACATGGTGAAACCCCATCTCTACTAAAAATACAAAAATTAGCTGGGTGTGGTGGCGCACACTTGTAATCCCAGCTACTTGGAAGGCTGAGGCATGAGACTCACTTGAACCCCAGAAGGTGGAGATTGCAGTGAGCCGAGATCGTGCTACTACAGTCCAGCCTGGGCAACAGGGTGAGACTGTCTCAAAAAAAAAAAACACCCAAAAAACAAAAACTCTGGGATCTTAGTGCAACTCAAGATGGGAACCCTGATAATGACAGAGACCTTGCAGATTGGAGCAAAGTAAATTGAAAGAAAAACTAAAACACATGCCAATTGTTTAAAAATAGATGAAGAGACTAAAAATAAGAGTCCAAGCTGGAAGCTGTGTTTCAATGTAAAATAACCTCTCTCGAGGTTTTCTTGAACCTGATCATAGAGGCTGGGGGACAGAAGGAAGCGAGCTCACTCATGCAGCCTTAACTCCAGTGCCCAAGTCCACAGCGAGGGCCCAGCACTTCACAGTTTCCAAGCACTCCCACCTGGGCCAGCTCACGCCATCTTATGGCCAACCTCAGAGGTGGGCAATGATGAATCCCCATTCTCCAGATGAAGAAAACAGGGGCTGAAGGAAGTTAAACCTGGAGTTCTTAAATCTTTGAATTGCCAAGTTCAAAAATTCCCTTTCCCCACCCCTTAGTAGAATATGGATGGATAAATGTGCACTTAAAATCATTCACTAGAAGCAAACCTGGGAGGAAGTCTGTCCCTTGATGGCTGTGTAGCCTTGGGCAAGTCAAAGCCCTTCTCTGTGCTTTGGTTTTCTCTTCTGTAAAATGGAATGATCATGTCATCTGCCTCCCAAGGATGCTGAGGGTTAAATGAGTAACACAGGACCAGTACCTGGCCCAATGGCCATGGGGGTTATTCTTAGAACATAACTGCTTGTGACTGTTATTAGAACATTAATTGCTGTGGCCCAATGCTGATGCTGTTTGTAGAAGCCAGACTGGCAGACAGCATTCTGTGCAGAAATGGTTCCGGAATCTCCCCGTCCCCCATCATAGGGGTCCTTCCTGCCCCGTCCCCAGTGTCAGACAAACCTTTTTCTGGTTGGTTCAGCGTTAATCCCTCTCCCTGTCCTTGATCCAGAGCTAGAAGACTAAGCCTTGATTCTATAAATAGCATCCCCAGTCTGTCACCATGGAAACCTCTGATGGGGCTGGGTCAGCCCACCCTAGTGGACATGACTCCCCCAGGGAGGCTCTGGAAGGACAGAAAAGTGGCTCTGGGGCCACCCAGAAGCAGCGGGAACCCCCAGTGAAGTCCACAGGCTTACCTGGAAATCACGAGCTTCCTAAGTGGGAGGAGGTGCTGTTCTGGTTCACCTGGAGAAAGACAATACACAGAGGAAGGGGTCACAGCCAGGTGGGGGATGCCTCACTGTCTTGAGGGTCACCCCTCAGCATCACTGAGGCATGCACATGCTTACTCATGGAGTATTTACTGTACATCTACTATGTGCCATGTGCTGGGATAGCATGGTGAGTGTGACAGACCCAAACCTAGGATCACAGAACTTACATTCAAGTTGGAGAAAAAGTGTATTGAACATGCACAGATGCAAGATAATGTCAAACCCGTGCAATGTGACAGGCTGCTATGAGTGATCAGTATCTGTGCTATTTCAAAAACGGTGGCCAGGAAAGGACTCTACACGATGGCATTTCAGCTGTGGTGTAATAATAAATATTTGGTCAGTGTCCCCAGTTCCTGGCACACAGCTCCCCAAACCCTTGGAATCTCTGAAAGAGTAAGGGTATCTTGGCTGGGTGCCGTGGCTCACACCTGTAATCCCAGAGCTTTGGCAGGCCGAGGTGGGTGGATCACTTGAGGTCAGGAGTTCGAGACCAGATTGGCCAACATGGAGAAACCCCTTCTCTACTAAAAATACAAAAATTAGCCGGGCATGGTGGCCAGTGCCCATAATCCCAGCTACTTGAGAGGCTGAGGCAGAAGAATGGCTTGAACCTGGGAGGCAGAGGCTGCAGTGAGCCGAGACTGCACCACTGCACTCCAGCCTGGGCAACAAGAGGAAAACTCCATCTCAAAAACAAAAAACAAAAAACAAACAAACAAAAAGGGTTAGGGCAGTTTATACTTCCCTGCAGTGTATGACGTATGCAAGATGTCTAGCTGACCTGGGACTGGTTTTTGTTGCTTTTAGGAACAAAATACGAAGGAACGGCATACCCCCACGCTCAGGAGGGCTGCCTTGCAGGTAAGTTGTGTCAAGCCTCTATTTCCAACCCTCATCTCCCTACTGTCCTCCACTGTGCACATAATGTCATTCTGGATGTCGTAAAAACTGGAAATGGTCTTGAAGAAGCTGTTTAGTAAATGGTAACACATGCACTCCACAGAACGCTATGTAGCTGTCCAAAATGGTGCCGGTGAAACTCAAAAGATAGGAAAATATTAAGAAAGCAAAACAAGGCAGCTTGAACATTAAAACGGTAATGAACATTCCTGTAAATCACATTGGGATAGAAACAAACAAAAATATAATTGCAACGAATGCAAAAGTGCATATGCATTCCAGAGGTTTCGGCCACCCTCCCCGCTTTCAGGTGTTCACGGTTCCCTCTGCTGGGAAGCCTTTTCTATCCAGAGCTTTGTGTGGCAGACCTAGTTTTAATCTTTCAGATATTGGCTTATGGGTGTTTTCCAATATCAGTGACCAATTCTGATTATCTGGATACCAACTGGGCGTTCAACAATTCAGTTCAGTTCTGACACCGACTCCCAGACTTAGTTAGCATCAGCTGCCATAGATTAAGGGCTCAGTTCCCAAACTGCCCTACTTTAGATGCCAGCTGCAATGGGGCGCGCAGGCTATCCACACTTCTTCCCAGCCAACTACAGATCTGGAGGTTCCCACAACCCCCACTCTGATTTGATAATTCACTAGAACAGCTCAAAGGACACAGGAGCACACTTTACTAACTGCTACCTGTTTATTATAAATAATACAACTCAAGCTTGGGCAACATGCCAAAACCCCGTCTCTACAAAAAAAAACACAAAAATTAACCGGGCATGGTGGTGTGTGTCTGTAGTCCCAGCTACCTGGGAGGCTGAGGTGGGAGGATTGCTTGAACCCAGAAGGAGGCTGCAGCGTGCCATGATCACACCACTGCATTCCAGTCTCAAAAAAAAAAAAAAAAAAAGAAAAAAAAAAAAAGGAAAGAAAAGAAAGAAAGCCCAAGAAAAAAGTCCCCACAAAGTCCCTCCAACTGCATTCAAGCCAGAAGATGTAGTGAAAGGCTGCTCCCTGACAGAAGGGCCACTGAGATGTGGCCCCAGCCGGATCAGTGCTTAGAGACCCTCTAGTCCAGCCCACATCACCACAGCACCCCCCACTTTTTTTTTTCTTGAGATGGAGTCTCGCTCTGTTGCCCAGGCTAGAGAGTGCAGTGGCGTGATCTCAGCTCACTGCAACCTCTGCCTCCTGGCTTCAGGCGATTCTCCTGCCTTAGCCTCCCGAGTAGCTGAGATTACAGGTGCGTGCCACCACGCCTGGATACTTTTTGTATTTTTAGTAGAGATGGGGTTTCACCATGTTGGTCAGGCTGGTCTTGAACTCCTGACCTTGTGATCCACCTGCCTCAGCCTCCCAAAGTGGTGGGATTACAGGCAGCCAGCCCGCATCCCCGTTTTTAAAATGGGAAAACCATTAACCAGAGTAGAGAAGTGACACATCCAAGGGTATACAGCCAGCTGGAGGTATAGCTGAGAAAGACAGAATTCGGAATTCTCCTTGGGGTTTCTAACCTGAAAATATCCTTTCAGATTGGCTGGTGTTTTATAGTCCCCTTTCAAGACCTAAGGAAGAGAAAAAGAAGTATCACTACTATGAAAATGACCAAAAAATAAAATTTTGTCATTCCCAGCACATCTAGTCATCCACCCATCCACCTCACCACCGACCCATCCATCCCTCCATCCATCAAACATTGATTAAGCTCCTCTTCTTCCAGGCATTATTCTATGTATTGTGTCTGGTTGACACAATGTTAACCAATAATTGAAATTCCTGTTTCCCTAGAGCTACCGTTCTAGAGGAGGCACCAGATGAACACACAAGAATCAATAAACACAAATAAACAAGGACATAGCAAACCATGGGAACTGTTGTGAAGAAAGTACAGTCAAGAGGTGTGATTAGGAGTAACCAGGGGGCTTCTTTTGAGTGGATGGTCAAGAAGGGACTCATGTCAGGTGCAGTGACTCACGCCTGTAATCCCAGCACTGCTGGAGGCCAAGGCAGGAGGATCACCTGAGTCTAGGAGTTTGAGACCAGCCTGGGAAACACAGCAAAACCCCATGTCTACAAAAATTAAAAATTAGCTGGGCGTGGTGGCATGCACTTATAGTCCCAGCTACTCTGGAGCTACTGCAGCCTTGGTTGCAGGATTGGTTGAGCCCGGGAGGTTGAGGCTGCGGTGAAGCATGATCACATCACTCCACTCCAGCCTGAGTGACAGAGCGAGACCCTGTCTCTAAGAAAATATAAATAAAAATAAAAAGGGCCTCTTGAAATAGATAACCTTTGAGTTGAGACCCAAAGGACAAGGAAAAATAGGTAGGCTGAGCTCAGAAGAAAAAGCCCTCCAGGCAGAGGCAACAGAGCAAAGGCCCTGAAGTTAGAACCAGAACATTTCAGGCCTTTCCGCTAGTAGTCATGTTTAAAAATAAAATGAAACAAGGGAAATTAATTCTAATAATATCTTTTATTTAATTTGATATAGCTTTTTTTTTTTTTTTTTTTGAGACAGAGTCTCACTCCTATAGCCCAGGCTGGAGTGCAGTAGTGCAATCACGGCTCACTGCAGCCTCCACTTCCCAGCCTCAGGTGATTCTCCCACCTCAGCCTCCTGAGTAGCTGTGACTACAGGCACGCACCACCATGTCCAGCTAATTTTCTGTATTTTTAGTAGAGATGAGGTTTCACCGTGTTACCCAGGATGGTCTCAAACTCCTAGGCTCAAGCCATCTGCCTGCCTTGGCCTCCAAAAGTGCTAGGATTATAGACATGAGCCATCATGTCCAGCCTATCTAATATATGAACATCTCAATATGTAATTTACATAAAAGTGACTAATGAGAAACATTACATACTTGTTTTTTTGTCCTAAGTCTTCAAAATCTAGTGTGTATTTTACACTAACGGTACCTCTCACTTTGGACTAGCCTCCCTTTACAGGATCAGTGGCCACACACAGCTAGTGGCTACCATATGGGCGGTGCCGGCAGAGACGATTTCATCAGCATAGATGTCCTTTTAGCCACTGCGTTTACTGAGTCCCAGGATCCATTATTGGAACACACAGGGTCCACAGCACACACAGAAGCACACAGGCATGCATGCACACTCACAGGGCTTAGTGAGAGGACTTATCTTCGCAGTAACAGCCAAGCTATGGCAAAAACTAAACCAGGGGTCTAGCACTTGCCAAGACGTGTTGGCCGCCCCAGGCAAGAAACCTCTTGGGATGAAAGTGAGAGACAGCTTCTATTTTAAATAAACAAACACAAAAAGCTCCAAACAGTTGATGTTAACCACCAGTGCTCATGAAAATTATTTATGTTTTATAAAATACATAAAGTCAGGCCTTACTCTAGGAACTTCTGACCCATAGCTTGGGGCAAGCCAGAGGCAGCCAGCCACCTTTTAAGGAGACCCCAGAGGAGCCACTGCTGGGCCCTTGGCTGAGAACGGTGAAGTAAGCAACACCCCAGCCCACTACTGCAGTGTCCCCAGCCGGTCCTCGCCTCTGCTTCTGAGAAGCACCTGGGGCTGGATTGTGAGATCACTACCACCTTCTTTTTAATCCAGTTAATTAATTTTTTATTATGATAATACATGTACAACCCATAGGTAGATAAAAGTATGTAAAACACGTAAGTAGGCTTTAAAGATTACTATTATGAAGGAATAATAACAAAATAAAAATCAATAATAATATTTATAATAAAAAAAAACAAACCACATCTGGGTTGCAGCCATTCACCTGTCAGTGTTGGCTGGGTACGTACATTGAATCTCTGAGTATTTCCGTAAATAGATGTCTGCAAAATCAACTAATGTCAAGAGGAAGAGGAACTCACGAGACCCACAGACAAAGCTTACCCTTCAATTACAAGGGCACAGCCCCCAAAGTTCAGTGTTAGTAAATTCTCTTTGTTAAAGAGAGATGAGCGAGTGTTGGAGAGGCAGGCGCTAATGACTTACTAGCACCAAACAGAAACTTTCTCATTGAGCCAACTGAAGGGTTACGGAACTAAGAGATGATTAACTTTTTTCCATTGTGATTCAATACAAGAACTGTTCACTTCCTAAAATCAGCACATGCTCAGAAATGCTGAGCTTAGCTTAAAGACTCTGGGTCTTAATGATGTAAGGGCTCTGAAAGCTCTTCCTCAGGCCTCGGTCCCATTTTCAAATATTTGCCTATAAGGAAGTTAGAACACAGCACTTCAAGTAAACTAGAAGCTGTAACGGCAATGTATACATAAGGCCATCAACGTGCTAACTGTTCTTTTACCCAGTGGGTATTAGCCTACTTTAACACTTCAAAAGCATTTTGTCAGTCACTGGAGGCTCAAACCTGTAATCTCAGCACTTTGGGAGAGTGAAGCAGGGGGATCCCTTACGGTCAGGAGTTCTAGACCAGCCTGGGCAACACAGCGAGACCCCGCCTTTATAAAAAATAAAATTAGCTGTGCATGATGGTGTGCACCTGTAGTCCTAGCTACTCAGGAGCCTGGGGTGAAAGGATGGCTTAAGCCCAGAAGTATGGGGCTGCAGTAGCTATAACTGCACCAATGCACCCAGCTTGGGCAACAGAGCAAGACCATGTCTCAAACAAAACAACACAAAACAAAAAAAGTCATTTCCCTTCACCACCTTAACCAAGGATAATTTTAAACGTAATGTAAACAGCCCCAAACTCACATTTGTCTGAGAAATCAACATTCAACCTTATCAGGCAAGAAAGGGACCAATGTCTTATTTATTTATATCCCCTCTCAACAAAGACTTGAGGTGCTTTACAAACAGATAAACAAATAGCCAGGGAAATAGGGGTAAAAGTGTAAATAAAATTAGAGAAATAAGATGGAATTAGTGTACAAGCTGGCCTGCTGTTAGAGTATGAGAGATAGGCTACCAGTTGACTTTGAGCTTCCCTGTAGCCCAAGCAAAACGGAAATCCAAGCAATCATGCAGTTCACTGTGTCCATCAGACAGAAACAAATCAGATGACCAGGAATCGAGAGACTGAACATTTCCTCAGGTGGCTGGAGCTTCCACATCTGCAAAAACCCCAGATCCCCAAGAGCACACTTCCGCAAGTACAGGTGCACACTCACCCGCTGTGTGTTATTGACGACAATGGGGTCAGGGTTGCCGTAGTTGGGGGGGTTTGCATAAGGGTCATAGCCGAGCTGAGCCAGCATGGGGGCGATCTGGGCCATGTCCCGCACCACATCCCCAGGGATGTGGCCAGTCCACTTGGAGAGTGCTTCCAGGTTAACAGGCTTGATGACCTGGTCCGTGGACCGCTCAATCCTGGGGAGAGAGAAGAGGCTGGAGAGGGCAGGGCAGACCCAGATGGTGCCTGAGCGGGTTCCCTGCTCAGCCACACTGGGGCAGCAGGAAACACTGGAGAAACTTGGCCTCTACCTAGCTCTGCCCCATCAACTGTGAGACAGCAGGTGAGTCATTTTTGCCTCCTCATACCTCCTCTGTACAATGGGAACACAGCATGCAGTGAGAAGTCAGAAGAAAGTACTAGCAGTATACACCATGGGTACATACATTCTGCTTTCTTGACTTCTCCAGCTTAAAAAATAACAACAGTTTAGGTCAGGCACAATGGCTCGCACCTGTGATCCCAGCACTTCAGGAGACCAAGGCAGAAGGATCGCTTGAGCTCAGGAGTTTGACACCAACTTGGGCAACATGGTGAAACCCCATTACAAAAATAAGCTGGGCATGGTAACAAGTGCCTGTAGTCCCAGCTGCTCAGGAGGCTGAGATGGGAGAATTGCTTGAGCCCGGGAGGTTGAGGAAGCAGTGAGCCTGAGCTGTGATTGTACCACTGCACTCCAGACTGGGCAACACAGCAAGACCCTGTCTCAAAAAAAAAAAAATTTTGTCCCTAAAAAAAGTAATAAAACACTAATGATAAAGCTAAAAGCCAATGTGTTCATCACTGCCAGTCCATCAGCTTCCTACAGGTACTCAGCCTTTGCACTGTGGAGCACACCACTCTCGGTAACCTTTTCCTGTAGGGTGGTTAAGAGCAGACCAGGGAGCCAGACTGCCTGGGTTCAAATGCCAGCTGTTCCCCAGCTGTGTGGCCTTGGGAAAGTTACTTCACCTCTCTGAGCCTCAATTTCCTCTTCTGTAATTGGCAGTGATAACAGTACCTACCTCACTGGGGTGCTCTGAAGAGTAAATGAGTTAATACAAAGAAAGTGCTTAGAAAAGCATGGGCACATTCTAAGTTCTTTTTTCTTTTTTGAGACAGAGTCTCACTGTGTTGCCCAGGCTGGAGTGCAGTGGCACGATCTTGGCTCACTGCAACCTCTGCCTCCTGGGTTCAAACGATTCTCCTGCCTCAGTCTCCCAAGTAGCTGGAACTACAGGCGTGCACCACCATGCCCAGTTAATTTCTGTATTTTTAGTATAGACGGGGTTTCACCATGTTGGCCAGGTTGGTCTCAAACTCCTGACCTCAAGTGATCTGCCCACCTCAGCCTCCCAAAGTGCTGGGATTCCAGACATGAGCCACTATGCCCAGTCAACACATTGTAAATTCTTAATAAGGGTTAGCACGCTGTCTCGTGCTTGCTCTTTCTCTCTCTTTCTCTCACACACACACACGTCTGCAGCTGTAAAACAAATACACTATAGTTTTTTTCGCCACTCAATATCCCATTCTTTTTGCCAGCTGTGTAGCCTTCCTCCATCACTTATTTTTCCATTCCCCTAAAGACAGACATTTTGGTTGTTTCCAACTTTTTGCTGCTACCATGGAATAACCATCATCTTCAACCTGCTTCCTAAACTCTTCCCAAGCCACCGGAATGACGTGGATCTTACCAATTATAACTCAGGGGCCTGACAGGATGAATGGTGGGGAACCCCCAGGATCAAGGGCCTAGTTCTAAATGCTTTCATCCCAACTAAGAGGTGACTTGGGAAAGAAGAACAGAATGAGGCAGCAAAAGGAAGACCAGACTGGGCGTGAGGTGAAGAGAATGGGGGAAGGTGAAAGGGTGTGGACTGGTGGGTAGAACACAGATTCAGAGGCTGCAAACCTGGATTTAAATCTTAACTCTATCCAATATGTCAAAAATCTTGAGTATGTGCATGGCTTTTGCAAAAATCCTTGTGTCTCTAGGACTTTATGGCGCAGAAATGAGGGGGACACATCCCAGAACATGAATGAGGGCAATGCTTGATACACATCAGTAAAACTGGAAATAAATGAAGTGTCCAACAATAGGGAATGTGAAGTTGAATATGGCAATCCCTGTAGCAGCCTGTTGCACAGCTATTCAAAATGATGCTGCAGGCCAGGCGCGGTGGCTCACGCCTGTAATCCCAGCACTTGGGGAGGCCGAGGCAGGCAGATCACCTGAGGTCTGGAGTTCGAGACCAGCCTGGTCAACATGGCAAAACCCCATCTCTACTAAAAATATAAAAATTAGCAGGGTGTGGTGGCGGGTGCCTGTAATCCCAGCTATTCTGGAGGCTGAGGCAGGGAGAACTGCTTGAACCTGGGAGGTGGAGGTTGCAGTGAGCTGAGATCACGCCACTACATTCCAGCCTGGGTGACAGAGCGAGACTCTGTGATGACAACAACAACAACAAATGCTGCTGCCGAAGAGTGCTGGCTACCACTGGCAAGGGCTCCCATACCACCATGGAAAAAGGCTACAGAGGAGTATGTTTCATTGGACTCCAGTTTCATCAATAGGCCCTGAAAATGGTGCAGCAGGCCACGCATGAAGATCTGGGTGGTGAGATCACGGCTTGTTTCTCCTTTCTTCTTTGGTGTATCTTTTCTAATTTTCTACAGTAAAGATGTATTACTTTGGTAACCTAATATTTTTGTCATAATAATTTATAAAATCCTAGCTCCAGCATCAACTGGCTGGGGTACCTGGCATGTAGGAACTTCATTGCAAGGGGAGAGCAGCTGCGAGACTCTAGCTCTGCTCTGGGTCTGGCAGGGGCCCAGCAGGACCAGCCATGGGGAAGAACCATCCTTTGGCTGAGCTCTCAGGATATCCAGAGCCTGATCAGGATGGGAAAGCGCAGAGACTACATACTCTGCTCCAGCATTGTTCAAAGTGCTCTGGGTCTCAGGATAGGGACAGCAGCTTTTCCAATGGAAGAAGGCAGGGAGGAAGGGACAGAGGGAGGAAGGAAAGGAAAGGATGAGAGGGAGTGAAGGGGAGGATGGGAGGAGTTCTGGACATGGAGAGTTTAAGAACACAATAGGTCAGGCACCTGTAATCCCAGCACTTGGGAGGTCAAGACAGGAGGATGGCTTGAGCTTAGGAGTTGGAGACCAGCCTGGAAGACTTACTGAGATCTCATCTCTACTAGAAAAAAAAAATGAGCTAGGTGTGGAGGTGCTCGCCTGTAGTCCCAACTACTCAGAAGACTGAGGTGGGAGATAGCTTGAGCCCAAAAGGCCGAGGCTGCAGTGAGCTGGGATCGTGCCGCTGCACTCCAGCCTGGGCAACAGAATAAAACCCTGTCTCAAAAAAACAAAAACAAAAAAACCCCCAAAAAATAGACCTGGGTTCCAATCCCAGCACCATGCTTTGTTAGCTGTGTAGCCTGAGGCCAGTAACTGCTCCTCTGTGAGATTCAGTTTTTCGGTCTATGAAATGGGGCTAAGAGGTGTTCCTATGTCTTCAGGTTGGTGTAAGGATTAAAGGAGATAAACTTATTGGGGGCTTAACCCAATACTTGCCATACAGTAGGCACTCATTAAATGACAATGGTGAGGATGATGAGTAGTCCATCAATAACAGCAGGACCAACACTAAAATAGTAATAATAGCACCTAACATGTATTAACCTATTTGATGCCCACAGGTATCTATAAAGTGGGAAAATTATATTTCCATGTTACAGATGAAGCAATGGAAGCACAGGGGTTGAGTCGCTTGCCCAGGGTCACACAGCTAGGAAGTGGCAGAGCTGAGGTTTGAACCCAGACATCCTTGTACCGGAACCTGAGCTCTTAGCCTTTACCCACTATTGCCTTACTACAAAGCATATTCAAAGTTTGCAGATTCCAGGCTGGGCATGGTGGCTCATGCCTGTAAACCCAGGACTCTGGGAGGCTGAGGTGGAAGGATTGCTTGAGGCCAGGAGTTTGAGACCAGCCTGGGCAACATGGCAAAACCCCATCTCTACCAAAAATACAAAAATTAGCCCAGCTTGGTGACGCATGCCTGTAGTCCCAGCTACTCAGGAAGATGAGGTGGGATCACTTGAACAGGGAGGTGGAGGCTGTAGTGAGCTGACTGCACCACTGCACTCCAGCCGGGCAACAGACCGAGACAGTGTCTCAAAAAACAAACAGCCCACGAAGTCTGCAGATTCTCTCAGAAAGGAGAGGGGTCATTGTCATTTTTTGGGATAATGAAACAGAGGCTCAGAGAGAGATAGTGACTTGCCCAAGGCCACACAGCTCAGGAGAGGCAGTGCTGATTTTCTCGCCTGGTGCCTCTGACTCCAGGGCCGGAGTCTGAGTGGAAGCATCAGGGGCTCCACTCACTTGGACAGGGAGACACCACCCGGCTTGCCAATGAGGTCTTCATGGTGGAGGACAGCGTCGCTCCAGGCGATGCCAAGGAAGTCGAGGATAAGCTTGAGTGAGCGCCTGGGGTGCAGCACCAGCTGCTCGTAGTACACAGGCAGGCACTTGTCCTTGCCCACCTCCATGCACTGGGCGTACATCACCTCGATGGCCTTGTTCCACTTGGTGAGGCAGTCGCGGTAGCTGCTGAGGTCGAAGCCCGCGATGGTGACTTTGCGCGTGATCATGGAGTGCACGGAGGCTCGGCCATCCCGCACCATCAGCAGGAATTTGGAGTTGGGGAACAGTCGCGACAAGTAGACCGAGGACTTGAGCGTAAATGGGTCCTTGTTGCAGAGCACGCGGGCCGGCTCTCCGTGCTTGGCAATCACCTCCAGGATGAAGGCCTGCATGGCGGCGTCCAGCACCTCATCCGTCACCCCCGCCTCGTCCAGCCGCAGCTTCTCACGGCCAGACTTGGACCAGGCCTGGCGCATGGCCAGCACGCGCGGGATGATGCGGGTCTCCTCGCCGCAGCGCACCTCGGGGTGGGCGTCCAGCATGGCGCGCATCAACGTGGTGCCACTGCGTGGCACGCCGCCCACGAAGATGAGCGGCATGGCCTTGCCGTAGCGGTATTCCACGTGGTTGGTGCCCACCATCACCAGCTCCTCCTGCTCCGGCCGCATGGCCCCCCGGGGGCTCCGCAGGCCCGCCAGCACCGCCCGGCACTCTAGCACCTGCTGCCCCAGCTGAACCGCCAGCACTAGGACCAGGGCACAGCCAGCTGCCAGCAGCACCCTCCGCACCGACAGGCGCATGCTGGGCCGGAGGCGGGGCAGGCCCGGCCTGAGGACCCGCTTCTGGGGCTTCAGCGACAGGTTAGCTGGCAGCCCGCCAGGCTCACATCTGGGGAAAGAGGGGGACATGCATAGTCAGGAAGGTCTATGAGCTGTGAGCTCTCCAGTAACTGCGAAGCCCTATAACTGCAAACTGCTGACATGAATGCAGAGGGCAACTTTCATAAACACTAGCTGTGTGCCTGGCACCCTACTGGGCACTTTAAAAAATTTTTTTGTTTTTTTAAAGAGACGGGGGTCTCACCATGTTGCCCAGGCTGCTCTTGAATTCGTGGGCTTGGGTGATCCTCCTACCTCCTCCTACCTCCTACCCAAAGTGATGGGATTACTGGCATGAGCCATCCGGTCTTTTTTTTTTTTTTTTTTAATGCTGGAGTGCACTGAGTGGTGAGATCACAGCTCACTGCGGCCTCGGACTCCTGGGCTCAAGCAGTCCTCTGCCTCAGCCTCCCAAGTACCTGGGACTACAGGCACACACCACCACACCTGGCTAATTTTTAGAAACAGGGTCTCGCTTCAAGCAATCCTTCCACCTCGGCCTTCCAAAGTGCTGGGATTACAGGGGTGAGACACAGTGTCCAGCCACTTTACCTATCTTAACTCATGGGATCTTCCAACAACCTTAGGAAGGGAGGTACTGTTATCAGCCCAAGGGATGCTACAGCCTGGCAGCCTAAGTTCAAATCCTTCTCTCCACTTCCTAGCTGTGGGACCTTGGCAGGTTCCTTAATCCCTCAGCTGTTTCATTGGATCAATGGAGACAGTGATCATTATTATAAAATTTACTATCAAAATATATAATGTCAGATTCCAGCAGGTCTGCTCTATGAGGGCAGGGAGTTTTGCTGGTTTTGTTCACTGCTGTACCCCTCAACTCTTAGCACAGTGCCCGACACCTAGTAGTTGCTCAATAAATATTTTTGGAATGCGCCTTGAGAGGCTACTTGAGAGGCTGAGATGGGAGGATCACTTGAGCCTGGGAAGTCAAGGCTGCAGTAAGCTATGATTGGGCCACCGTACTCCAACCTAGGCCACAGAGCAAGACCCTGTCTCAAAATGAGCAGAGCCTGAATGAGCCGAGCCTGGCACAGATTAAGTGCTATGAAATCATCATTGTAGAGAGAAGAAACTAAGGTACAGAAAAGTTGCTCGGTTGCCCAGCTGGGAAGCAGCCAAACCAGGGTCCACGGTTCCAACCCAGACCAGCCAGCTCTGCTTTAAATCACCACTCTGCCTCCAAGGAAAACATTTTTTCAGGAGAAGGCTGAGCATATCCTGGTCTACACTTCTTCCAGGATCATCATTCCATCATTTATTCTTCATTCACTAAAGTGCCAGGCACTGTGTTTGGTGCTGGAAACAGGACAATGGACAAGACAGCCAGGACTCTGACCTCAAGGAGCTTAGGTCCCAGCAGGAGAAGCAGATAATACACAAGGTATGGACAAACTGTGATAACTGTTTCAAAGAAATGAACAGGACACTGTGAGAGGAACCAAGGAGGGGAAGGAGGAAGGTAGTCAGGGGAGGCTTCCTGAAGGAGGTGGTATCCAAGCCAAGACCAGGATGAGAAGGAGTCGGCCATGTCTTTGCATGTGGGGAGGGTGTTACAAGCAGAGAGAACAGAGAGTGCAAAGGCCCTCAGATGAGAAAGAGTGTGAGGTCTTCAAGAACTTGAGGCTGAGAGTGGCGGCTCACACCTGTAATCTCAGCATTTTGGAAGGCCAAAGTGGGAAGATCACTTCAGGCCAGGAGCTTGAGACCAGCCTGGGCAACTTAGTGAGACCTTGTCTCTGTGGGCATGGTAGTGCCTGCCTGCAGTCCTGGCTACTTGAGAGGCTGAGATGGGAGGATCACTTGAGCCTGGGAAGTCAAGGCTGCAGTGAGCTATGACTGGGCCACTGCACTCCAACCTAGGCAACAGAGCAAGACCCTGTCTCAAAAAAATTTAAAAAAAAAAAAGGAAAAAAAAAAAAACTGAGAAGAGGCTGCTAGGGCTAGAGGGGGAGAGGGAAAGATGGGGCAAGGCCAGGCAGGTCCTCAGGAACAAGGGAAGGAGCTGGACTCACTCTATAGACAGCCCCTGAGGGGTGAGGATGGAGATCAGGAGGCCATGCAGGAGGCTCCTGCCCGTGTCCTGGGTAGGCTCAGGGGTGCTGGACCTTTAAGGATGATTGGGGAAGGAAGGGAGAGGACAACTTAGGACAGAATGCTGCTCCTGAGCCTGGGCTCCTCGCTCCTCCCAGGAGTTGCTGATAAAGAAGATCAGACTTCAGTGGCAATTTTTCAGGTAAGGGCTCATTTTAAAAAGCGAGGCCACACCCTCTGTCACATCCCTCAGTGACAGATCCGCCTTCCTTCCCAGATCACCCCCCAAATCCCCTGATTTTGCAACCTGAGCCCAATGCAGACGGTGCAGACCCTGGC